GTGTTCCCAGCTCAGGGCAAGCAGGTGGCTTAGGTGGTACACCAACCAATAAAAGCTGCTCTGTACAGGGCCAAGTGACTGCCAGCACCCAGCTGAGTGGGTGGGACAGCAATGAGGCCTTCTTACAGGCAATCTTGAGAGCTCAGCATTTCTCCAAACACCTTCTGGGCTATCAAGAGATGAGAGTCAGGCCCTTCTAGCCAGCCTGGCCCTCAATGCCAGGGACAGCAGCAGTGATTTACTGACACCAGCTTAGTCCCCAGGGCAGGGATTTTTTTTTTTTTTTAAGAGGTAGTGCTCACTATATTGCCCAGGGTAGCCTTGAATGCCTCAGCTCAAAAGACCCTCCTGCCCCAGTCTCCTGAGTAACTAGGCAACAGGTGCAGGCCACTATACCCAGCAACGCAGGGTTTTTAACATTAGTGCCACAGACAGATCTAACAGGAGTGTATGCATTTTTCTTTTTGGTGCTGATGACTGAACCCGGGGCTTGTAGCTAGACAGCTACAACTCTAGCCCAAGTGCATTTTTATAGATAGCCTCCAGAACTCTCCTTACATCCTAATCTAAAAAAGGTTAATAATCACTACTCTGGGGCCTGGGGTTGTGGCTCGGTGGTACAGCACTTGCCTTGCACACATAAGGCACCAGGTTCGATCCTCAGCACCACATAAAGTAAATAAATTAGTAAAACAAAGATGATGTGTTCCTGTTCAATTAAAAAAAATTTAGAAAAAATAATCACTACTCTGGAAAATTCTTATCACAAATGTATAAATTTAAGAGGATTCAGCACTTTTTCCCCATTCCCCATCAGATCATAAGGTCTTTTACTGAACTATAATCTTGTTTTTTTTTTTTTTGGGGGGGGGAGGGTTACTGGAGATTGAACCCAGGGCACTTTACCACTAAACTACATCCCCAATCCTTTTTTATTTTGAGACAGGATCTCTCTAAGTTGCTGAGGTTAGTCTTGAACTTAGAATCCTCCTGCGTCTATTTCCAGAGTCACAGGGATTACAGGTATGCACCCCACGCCCAGCTACTGTTGTCTCCTTCACTATTATAATCCCAAGCCTTGCATGGTGTTAAAAAGAAAATATGTTTTTAAAATAAATAACTCATTAACTAGCCTAATAAATTAATTGGGGCTTATGTCCCTTCCAGCAACACTTCTGCTTCTTTTTCTTCTGTCACTCATAATAAAATACTTCAGAATTTCCTATCTGTAAACAGCTAGGTGTGGGAGTTTCCCAAATTTACTGAAACCCAGTAATAAGTCCATAGTTTAACCACACAAATAATTTAGGAAGAGAAATTGGACCTCCCTCCCAGTTCCTTCCACCAATCTCCACTGTTATAACAAATAAATATAAAAACAGAGACTGGCTTCCTGAAATGTTTACCCTACTCAAAGCCAACAGTGCACAATTAGAGGCACAGATACCCATGTGCACACATGTAAGCCACACACGCAAATACACTAGTTTAAGTCAGTGCTGCGAAGGTCAGGGTTTGAGAAAGAACTAGATGGGAGAAAAATTAGAATGGCTGGAGCCATCCCCCAAAGCTGGAGAGAAGTAAGGAATTTGCAGACACTGCCTACGCTCTGTCTGACAGGCAGCAGTGACACTCAGCAGCATGATGAGGCCCACGTGCCACCCCTAGCCAACTCCTCACCAGCTTGGGGACTGCTTGGGACAGCCCACAGTGGGTGCCCAGGGGCTGCTGGATTGGATCACTCTTCTATTTTTGGAATGGCCTATACTCCCCTCTGCTTTCTGGCTTACAAGGACAGAGCAGACCCGGATGCCTACTCAGGGAGGAAAAGACAACACATCCTCTTGACTCTTTCACTGCCAAGATGGGACCCAGGGCTCTGAGGGTAGTCTTTTCAGGCAAACATTTCTGTTCAACAGAGACGGGGCCAAATGAAAATCCCAAACCCTACTTCCTACTACAAAGCAAAAAAACTCAGTTTGGTTTCTATGCTTCTTCCTATTATGATCCAATTCCAGGGCCCATGTTCCAGTTGACCTAAACAAAATTCTTCCAGCCAAATTGGGAAGACCTCATACTGCCCGGTTCCCAGCAGAGGCCTGAAGGGCTGAATGTGTGACTTGAGGAGTAGTAGGGAAGGCACTGTGGAAATCAGAAACCAGGAAGGGAAGTTGCCTAGTAAAGGACTGTATTCATGAGTCCTTAAATGGGCTTCCATGTCCTAAGAACAAGCTGCACCCAAAGTCCTTCATGACCCTTCCAAACCAACACAGCTATTCTTTCAGTCTTTCTTCTCATACAGACTCCCCCAAATTAGAGATTTATGGGACTTCAGAGTGCATCCAATCCAAATCTCTCCTTTTAAGGAAGAGGAAACTGAGGCTCAAGGTCATGTAGCAAAAGCAAAGCAAGGACCTGAACCTGGTTCTGCGGATTTCTGCCTAGGTCTCTGACCTGTAAATCCTACAGGGCTCTAAGCACCATTCCCCTTCCGGGTTTTTCTCCATCTGTGACCCCGACCCTCACCCAGCCAACCCCTCCTGTCCCCCATTCCCACCTTATTGCCATCCCAACTCTGCAAAGCTCCTTGCCCACCCCAAGCTCACTGCGGAAAGGCTTACTCCACGTGCTTTCCTCCAAGACTCCCACCCACCCAATTCCTCCACCGCCTTCATCCTGGGTTAGGAGACCCCGCCCCCGACTCGGTCCAAAATTGCACTCTCCTCCCCCGCCCGCGTCGGTCCCCGCACCGGGCCCCGCCTGCGCGAGAGGCCCCGCCCCTCGTCGTCCCCCACTTCCCCCGGCAGCTGCACTCACGCCCCGGCCCCTCTCACCGGTAAAGCCGCTTAGTGTGGAGGACCTTTGCTTCGGGCTCGCTGCTTTCCCCTGTAGGGGGGCCTTGGCTCATGGTGCCCGGGTCCGGGGGCGGCTCCCGGTCACAGGCCCCCGCCACCCACCAGTGCCTCCACCACTGCCGTCTCCGGCCTTAGCCGCAGCCGCCACCGCCGCCGGCCCTGCTCGGCCGCCATCGCTGTGAGGCGGCTGCCCGGGACAGCTCCTCCTCCGCCCGCCAAATCTCGCGATAGCAGCTCTATTGCTGCGGGCCAGTGGCCTGCTGCTCCCAAATCTCGCGGAAATCGTTTTCCCTCCCGGGAAGTTACCAGAACTCACTCTGGGCAGCATGGCCTCTTTCCGGCTTCTCCCAGCCCTTGAGAAAAACTTTATTGGCAAAGCTGCCGGAGAAGAGACAACGAAGCCAGTGAGGCGGCTGAAGCTGAGCTGGATCTGGGGAGGTGGACTCCCAGCTGGGAGAGTGACTCTGCTGTGTCCAGCAGGGGTCATTAATCCATCCTTGTGCCTCTTAACCCCTCCCCATTTGAACCGAGCCTCCTTCATATTACTGATTACAATGATTCCAACCCCCTTCCCCCAGTGACATGGACAAAATTAGGTGTTTGTGAAAGTTTCCTTGGAGAGGTCGAGCATCATGTAGAGCTAAGGCTTTGGAAGATATGGCTATTGTAGAAGGGCCTCGACCTTTCATTGCCCCCTGCCAAAGATTCCCAGCTTGCAAATCCTCTCACCAACCCAGCAAACATTCATTGAACACCTGCTGTCTTCCAACAGCATGCTGGGTTCTGGGCACACAGATGAGCTAGCTAGACCCTGTCCCTGCCCTCACAAAGCTCCAATGACCTCAGGGATAAGATGACATAGACATGAGAAGTCAGCCCGGCCAGGTGGTGCACACCTGTAATCCCAGCGATTCAGGAAGGTGAAGCAGGAGTACAGCAAATTCGAGGCCAGCCTCAGCAATTAAGGCCCTGAGCAATTTAGAAGACCCTGTCTCGAGTGACCCACGCCTGTAATCCCAACGGTTTGGGATTATGAGGCAGAAGTTCAAAGCCAGCCTCAACAACTTAGCAAGACAAGACCCTGTCTCTAAATAAAATACAAAAAAAAAAAAAGGCTAGGGATGTAACTCAGTGATTAAGTACCCCTGGGTTCAATACCTGATACCCCCCCCCCAAAAAAAAAGAGAGAGAGAAAGAATTAGAAGCCATTTCCTTATATTTCTGCCCCTACTCCCCATCCTCTCATTAGAAAGATCAACTCTCAGCTCCATATGTACCTCAGTAGAAAAGCATTTGCCTAACATGAGAGGCCCTGAGTTCACAAAAAAAAAAAAAAAAAGATCAGCTCCTATCTAACTTGAATGGCTAGTGCTTTCTAACCCTTAAGCCTAAGCCAAGAAGCAAGGTGTTTGGGGGCCTATGTACACATTATAATGGGAATATAAATCCCTGTTCTACCGTTATACCCCTGGCTGCAGGCACTAATGCTTTCCATTCCTGAAACAGCCTTAAGTCTCTCCCACCTACTGGCCTTTCACTTGTGCTTCTTCTGCCTGGAACAATTGTATACTCTGATTTCTCACTGGGTTTAGCTCAAGTGTTACTTTATCAAAGACGTTTTCCCCATAGACATAGTCTTACTGATTTAATTGTGAGGCTGGCCTCAAACTTGCGTTCCTTCTGCCTCGCCTCCGGGATCACTTGGGATTACACACATGCACTACAATGCCTGGCTGGGCCTTCTTTATTATCTGTTACCCCAATAGAAGATAAGCTCAAGGGCAGAGACTTTGACTGTCATCTTCTTCTCCTCTGTAGAATAGTACATAGCTAATAATAGTTGCTTAATAAACATCTGTTGAATGAATAAATGTGCAGATCGTTTTCTAGATATCCTACACCAAGCATGCTTTGGTTCATGAATTCATTCTCCCACACACACATACACCTCCTGCTTTCCTGAGCTGGGAGCTCTTACACCTCTGCCCCAGGTGTTTAGAACACACACTTACTTCTATGCCCAGCTGTACCCCCATTTTCAGAAAGGATGACGTCTTCCGCTAATGCCTTTTCTGTCGGCAGATTTAGCTGGGCGTGTCCTGCCCCTTTAATCTGGGCCCCACCTGCTCTGGTCAGACAGGTTTGGAGACACAGGTAAAGGGAGGAGAGACAGAAATACTTGCAGAGCCAGCAGAGAGCTGGGCAGCTCTTTCCCGGATGCTGGGGACCCTCCGTCTCTCCCAGATGAAAAGTAAGAGGGTGTTATGGATCCAATGGGCAAGGGCAAGAGGGTTCCTGAGGAGGTGAGGGAGGGGATTTAGCCTTATCCAGAAACAGTGAGATGGTGGGCGGTAGGGAAAGGAGAAAGACAGGAAAGCAACATGGGACACAGCCATGTTCAGACCTAAACATTAGAATGGATAAACCCAGGCCACATGGATCAGCCAGGGGGGCTAGCAAGGAGTTTGGAAATTGACCAACACCTAGGTTGGAGATGAAAGGACCCAGTGCCCTGCTACTGCCACTTCTCAGGCCAGATTTGTCAGCAAGTCACTGGTATCAGGTATCAGGAGGGTTCCGGGCAGGGATCTGCAGGGAGAAGGGGAGGTGGGATGGTGGAGGGGCAGCCTCTCCGTTTGGGGGAAGATCCTTGGTGGGAAAGAAACTCTTGCAAAGTTCGCAATTCCGCCTCTTCCTGGTGTTCCTGCACTAGGGTGGCCATGACTCCAGGGATTGTGGTGGAGGGGGTAGAAGGCGTGGGTGGAGCTAAGGTCACAGCTGCCAGGGCCTGTGCCCCCTGACTCATCCAGTCCTGCTGGATGACATTTGATGTTGAAAGGGTGTCTCCATTTCAGCTGCTCACTACCCTTCCACCTCCCTCTTGTTTCAACACCTTCCTCCGCACTGAGTTTTCCCTAAGTCCCAGAAGGGGCCAGAGTCCGAGAGGCCAGCTGCCCAGGAAAGCTCCAGATCTGACACTGTCTAGAGGACAGGGCCTTCTGACAGAGCTTTCCTCTGCTCCCTCCAGGATGATCTTGTGGTAGACCCCAGAACTGAGGCCCCAGGATGGCAGAACCTGAGACCCTGTCCCTGCTGGAATTGAAGGGGCCTGAGACGCCCAAGAGCCCACCTCAGGCTTTGGTCCCCAATGGCCGGCAGCCAGAAGGGGAATGCGGAACCGAGTCCCCTGGAGCTGAGTCCCTCAGAGCCGAGTCTGCAGTTGGCTCTCCCATGGCCAGAGATGGAACTGAAGATGGTCTAGACAGTACAGTAAGTGAGGCTGCCACCTTGCCCTGGGGGACTGAACCCCAGCCCAGTGCCCCGTTCCCGGATCCCCCTGGCTGGAAGGTCATCGAACCAGAGCCTCTGGAGTCAGAGCCACTTACCAAGCCAGAGGAGCCACCTGACGATGATGATGATGCCAACCTGCTCCCTGAAAAGGCGGCCCGGGCCTTTGTGCCCATCGACTTACAGTGCATTGAGAAGCGGCCCCAGGAGGACCTCATTGTGCACTGTGAGGCGAGCGAGGGCAAGCGCCAGGCCTTCCTGCCCACCCGGGCCACCCATCCAGAGCCCCTTGAGCGAAAGTGGGCTGAGGCCGTTGTGAGGCCGCCTGGCCGATCCTGTGGGGGCTGCGGGAGCTGTGGAGGCCGAGAGGGGATAAGGGCGGTGGCCTCCGTGGGAGCGGCCCTCATCCTCTTCCCCTGCCTTCTGTATGGGGCCTATGCCTTCCTGCCCTTTGATGCCCCACGGCTGCCCACCCTGAGTTCCCGCCTGGTCTACACACTGCGCTGCGGGGTCTTTGCCACCTTCCCCATTGTGCTGGGTGAGTCGGGGGGCCCTGGGACAAGGGACATCCAGGAAGTGGACTTGAGGGGGAAGAGCCTGCCTGGCTTGGGAGGAGGGTTTCCCTTCATTCAGCCTGAACTCACGATCCTCCTGGCTCAGCCTCCTGAGTAGTGGGGACCATAGGTGGGCTCCACCCTCAGCCTTCCATACCTGCTGTTCTGTACGTCCTCCTCCTTTCACCTCTCCCGCTGTGCAGAGCCCAGGCCCCTGAGCCCTCTCCTGTGAGCCTTCCGCCTTTAGCTCCTTCCTCCTGCCCACTCTGCCCCGTGTGCTTCCCCACCCACCCAGGGCTCCTGGTGTACGGGCTGAGCCTGTTGTGCTTTTCCGCCCTCCGGCCCTTTGGAGAGCCCAGGCGAGAGGTGGAGATCCACCGGCGGTACGTGGCCCAGTCCGTCCAGCTCTTCATCCTGTACTTCTTCAACCTGGCCGTGCTGTCCACCTACCTGCCCCAGGACACCCTCAAGCTGCTCCCTCTGCTCACTGGTCTCTTTGCCATCTCCCGGTGAGTAGGGGTGAGCTTGCGGGGGGGTACTACAAGAGCCAGGCACCGAATGTCTGTCTGGAAAGCTAGGGTCACGGGCTTCCTGGATTCTATAGCAGCCCAGATGTACACCCTGGAGAGATGAATCACTTTTTCTCTCTTTTTAAGTGGACTTAAACACATTAAATTAAATTATTTAATTAATTTATTATTTATTGGTACTGGGGATTGAACCCAGGGGTGCTTAACCATTGAGCCACATCTCCTGTCCTTTTTATATTTTGTGAGATGGGGTCTCCCTAGTTGCTTAGGGCCTCGATAAATTGCTGGAGCTGGCTTTGAACTTGCGATCCTCCTGCCTTAGCCTCCCACTGGAAGATCCTCTGGGAGTAGAGGCGTGTGCCACCATGCTCTGCCTAATTTTCTTTATTTGTGGTAGTACGGATTGAACCCAGGGCATCCCACATGCTAAGCAAGTGCTTTACCATTGAGCTCTACCCCCAGCCCTTTTTATTTTTTATTTTTTTATTTTGAGACAAGGTCTTACTAAATTGCCCAGGCTGGCCTTGAAATCATGATCCTCCTGGTTCAGCCTCCTGAGCAGTGGGCGCTCACCACCATGCCCAGCCTCGAGTGTTGGTTAGACCAGTGCAGCCACTCCAGGACTCTGCTGTGGCACTCCAGTCAGGCAGCTTAAATCTTTAGCCTCAAGTGGAACACCAAATGCTCAATTCTTTTTAAAGCAATCTGTTTCCATTTTTAAAGGTCCTAATTGTTAGAAAGTTCTTTATACAGTGCTGTGCCAAAAACTTCTGCCCTGAGTGTGACCTCCAAAATTGTCCAGGACAAATTCCAATATTTAACAATAGCTCTCAATTCCTCCCACTGTCTCCGAATGACCCTGTTCCCTTCACTGACCTGGATCCTTCTCTCTGGGCAGGAAATTCTCCTGCTTATCAATGAGGAGGGACCTTGGTCAAAGGTACAATTTGTCCTTTTCATAAAAAGTGAGGCCACGTGAACTTTCACGCAGCCTCGTTACCCTGAATTTCATTCAGAGTTGCAGTCACTTGAAATCCTTAAGGGTGTTTTTGTTGTTATTGTCCTAGCGATTAAACACTCTACTACTGAGCTACTCCCCCAGTCCTGAGGATGTTTCCACGTGAACTCCTGTTAACCCAGAAGGCACCTTTGAATTTCTGAACCCAAATGAAAGTCATGACATCCTCTCCTGATACATCTCTTCTGCTTTCAAGACAGGATGCCCGGTAGCTGAAACTGCTAAAATAGTCTTCCTGTTGAGCTAAAATTAGTCTTCTCACCACTTCTTCTTCTTTTCAGTTGTAGATGGACACAGTACCTTTATTTTATTTATTTTTTGTGTGTGGTGGTGAGGATTGAACCCAGTGCTTCACGTGTGCGAGGCAAGCGCCCCGCCACTGAGCCCCAGCCCCAGCCCCTTCTCGCCACTTCTGATTGTCGGCTGGCGTTCAGCTGTCCCACCAGCCTCCTGACCCTCATGCAGCCTTGCATTTTCTCCCAGTAGATTTCCCTAAGATAAATGTATTCCCGCTCATGTAACTCAACTTCCCATCTCTGACCCTTGGGAATACTGGTCTCAGAAACTGGTTTAGGCTGGGCACGGTGGTGCACACCTGTTATCCCAGCAGCTCAGGAGGCTGAGGCAGGAGGATTACAAGTTCAAAGCCAGCCTCAGCAATTTAGCAAGGCCCTGTCTCAAAATAATAATAATAATAATAAATAAATAAAAATAAGAAGGGCCTGTAATCCCAGCAGCTCAGGAGGCTGAGGCAGAAGGACTGCAAGTTCAAAGCCAGTCCCAGCAAAAGCTAGGTGCTAAGCACTCAGTGAGACCCTGTCTCTAAATAAAATTCAAAATAGGGCTGGGGATGTGGCTCAGGGGTTAAGCCCTGCTGGGTTCAATCACTGGTACCAAAGGGGAAAAAAAAAGGAAGTTGGCTTAAGCAGTAAGAATCATCAGGAAACTAAATGAAAAGTAAGTCATTGTGTGGTCCAGGCTTCCCATTCTACAGAGAGGAAATCACAAACAGATCGCAGGAAAAGAGTTGCTCAAGTTGGTTAGAACAGCGCAGGACTAGGATCCTGGCCCTTTTCCTCTTCCATCCAGAGTGCATCCTTTTCTATTATGAGAAAGTTCTTTAAGCATCTTGTATCTCAGTTTCATCATCTAGAAAATGGGATTGTGAGGATTAAATGAATTCATGTAGAGAGCTTGAAACAATCTGGAGCTTGGTTAGGACTCGCTAAATGTGAAGTCTAATGCCAGCTGCCTCCTAGTGTAGTAGATGGGAATCATCTTCTTTCCTTTTTACTTAAAAGGAACAAGAACGTGTAAATTTTGAAATACATCATTCTTCACACATTAAGAGGAAGTTGTTCTTTCCTACCCAATTGAGGAAGTGCTTTTTTCACTTGTTTGTTTGTTCTTTGTTTTGTTTTTTGTACTGGGGATCAAATCCAGAGGTGCTTAACCACTGAGCCACATTCCCCGCAATTTTTTTTTTTAATATTTTATTTTGAGACAGGGTCTCACTAAGTTGCTCAGAGTCTGGCTAAGTTGCTGAGGCTGGCTTTGAACTCCCAATCCTCCTTGCCTCAGCCTCCCAAGCCACTGGGATTACAGGTATGTACCACCATGCCCAGCTGAGAAAGTGTGTATTTTGAGTGGATATTCCAAGAGGGCAAATTTTGTTGTGAATGATCTATCCCTCTTGACTTCAAGCCCTTCCTTATTGTCCTGTTTTGCTTCTCTAACACATTGGACGAGGAAGTAATAAACAGCCTTAGGTTCAGATCATAGCTTTGCTATTTCCCAGCTGTTAACTTGGAGCCCTGGGGAATCTTAGTTGCTTCATCTGCAAAAGGATAAATACAATCAAACACACTGCAGCTGTAAAAGAATGAGGAAACTGTTTATATACTGATATAAAATGATCCCCAAGATATATAAAAGGAGAAAAATCAACATACTAGCAACCTTACAGGTGGGCGCACACCTGTAATCCCAGAGGCTCAGGAGGCTGAGGTCAGAAGATCACAAGCTCAAGACCAGCCTCAGCAATTTAGTGAGGGCCTAAGCAACTAAGACCCAATCTCAAAATGAAAATAAAAAGTGCTAGGGATGTAGCTCAGTGGTAAAGCACCCCTGGGTTCAATTCCTATTACAAAAAAAAAAAAAAAAAAAAAAGGAAAAAGAGAACTTTTTGTTCAGACTTGGGCTGTAAAGTGCTTGTGTAGTACACACAGGGTTCTGAGTTTGAATCCCAGCACTACATACAAACTTTCTGTTGTATGTGTATAAAAATCACTCAGTGCACAAGAAGCCATAATTAATTGGATACTTAGGGTGGGAGTCAGGGAGGAAAATAGGATGGGAACCATTGAATTTTTTTTTTTTTTTTGGTACTGGGGATTGAACCCACAGGCACTCAACCAGGGAGCCACATCCTCAGCCCTTTTTTGTGTTTTAATTAAAGACAGGGTCTCACGGAGTTGCTTGGTGCCTCCCTAAGTTACTCATTGAATCTTGAACCATGTGAATGTATATTGCCCACTCAAAAATTTTTATTGAAATTTGGAAAGTAACTGAAAGCAACTCAGAGGGATGCAGAAAATCAAAATTAAATAGTGCACTTGAATTAGCCCTGTTCCTGGCAGAAAACCCCCACCTGCCTTCTCCCTCTAGTCTTCCGATGTCAGCTATTGCCACCTGGCTGACATGCCAGACCCTTGCCATCCCCCTGCAGGCTGATATACTGGCTGACCTTCGCCGTGGGCCGCTCCTTCCGAGGCTTCGGCTACGGCCTGACGTTCCTGCCGCTGCTGGCCATGCTGGTGTGGAACCTCTACTACATGTTCGTGGTGGAGCCAGAGCGCATGCTCACTGCCTCCGAGAGCCGCCTGGACTACCCCGACCACGCCCGCTCCGTCTCCGACTACAGGCCACGGCCCTGGGGCTGAGCGAGCGGGCCTCGCCGTGGGCTCGCATGCTTTTCTGAACCGAGCTACGGGCCTGGGCTTTGTCCCCAGCCCTGGGACCTGCTGCCCCGTAGGGATATCATTCCATCACGGCCTGGATTGACCCTTGCTCCCTCTTAGCTGCTGTTGTCCTTCACCTCTGAGGCTTGGCACCGCCATAAAGGAGGGACTTTTCTTTCAGGGAAAGAGGTGGACAGCCTTGTCCCTTGAGGATGCTGAGGACACATGGTCCAGAGGCATGGTTCCTTCCTGAACAATCTCCTACTGCCATTAGGGCTCCCTAAGGCTGGACTCTGTCCCACTCCCCAGCTCTGTGAGGCAGGAGGCAGAGCCAGAGCCAAACCCGGACTCTTTCTGTGCCAGCTGGACCATCAGAGGAACTTAAGGAGAATGGAGAAACTGCTGTGCCCAAGGAAGAGGCTGCATCAGATCAAATGAGGACTTTCACATTTGGTGAAATTTTGGGGGTCCTGGGTTTGGGACTGGTCTTAAAGGCTTGTTAGTCTCAAGACTATTCTAGCCGCCCCCATGCAGAGCTACTGCCTCCTCCCTTACAACCTATGTACACCTCCAAACATTCCAGATGTCACACTTCCCATGGGAAGAGGGGTCAGGGAAATCTGGCTCCCAAGAGGGGTGTGTGTACCCACATGTGTGGTGGCTGGGGAGTGGTTGGAAGGCACAATGGTTAATGTTAACCCAGTGCAAGTGTTTGTTTATGTGTGTGTGAGAGAGAGTGAGAGAATAAATTACCACCCCTGCATTGGCTCTTTCTTCCTGTTTGTCCCTCCCCTGCCCAATCCCAGGTATCCCCTTCCTTATTTGATTCAGACAGCACCAGAAACCTTCTGGGTCCACCTGGTACGCAGCTGGCAGAAGCTGTGGTTCCACATGGAGGGAGAGAACCAGGTCTGGTGGAAATGGGGTCTCAAATAAAGTTGTCTTCCAAACCCATCTCTTAGCCCTCCCACTCCCTGAAACCAGCCCCAAGTGAACCCCACAATATCAACATGCTGAGAGACTGGAACCTTGTAGAAAAAGATAAGTCTTATTTTGTACCCTTCAGGGTCACTCTTAGTTTAACAACCAAGAAGTAGGAATGACACAAGTAAACACCACCAAGGGGACCTTTTAGAAATAACCCTGACCCCAACCTCAGGAAGTGGAGGTTCGTTTCTGAAGTTCTGCAGAAAAGTGCCAAGGGAGGGGACGGGCCAGCTGGAACATTGGCCCTCCAACCGCCAGCAGTCTGAGGAGGCACAGCAAGGCAGGTCCAGGAGGGTCCTTCCCTCCAGACAGTGAGTCTCAATTTATGGACTGGTACTCTGAGTGCTGTTTGTGGCGCAGCAGCAGGATGAGACCTCCCCCCAGCAAAAAGAGCCCTGGAGCACCCAGGGCCACTGCCACGATTCCTAGGATTAGCGGGGACAGGGCATCCACAGGAGGGGAGCCCATACCCAGAAGCATTGACCTAGAGCAAGAGAGTGAGAGAGAAGTTCGTGGGTGAGGAGGCCAGGCTGGGAGGCAGCCCTCCTCCACTTCAACACCCCCGCCCCCGCAGTCCCAGTTCGGGCTCTCACCAGCTCAGGTAGTGTTGGTCCCAGTAGCCAGGGCCCGTGGGAGCCCCAAATGTCAGGTTGAAGGAACAGAAGTTGCTCTGCGACCCGAAGAAGGCTTGGACAATGGGTGACTGGGGAAGGGAGTACACCAAGCTGGGGCGAAGAGGAGAAGCCTGGCAGGGCAGGGCTGACTCTCGGCTCCTCTGCTTCTGGGAGAAAGCCACTGGTCGCCACTGCATGAAGCCAGACGGGAGGGAGCCCCACAGCAGCTGGTCCACCTGAGGAGAAGGGCAAGCAAGGCAGGGTGAAGAGGAGGCCTGTGCCAGACGGACCCTTGTCCTCCCTGCCTCTCTCAGTCTCCATCTGTCACTAGCAAAGAGCGTGCTAAGAGCAGCAGAATCCCGAGTCCTGGGCTTGGTTCTAGAACTGACAGGCTGTCTGCACCAGAGCCCTGGTCTCTCTTCTGAAGGGGACTTGGCTGGATGAGCACCGGGTCCTGTTCCGGCCCTGCAGATCGGCACCAAGCTCCCTCCCCTGCAACCCCAGGCCGTCTGGAGAGCTTGAGTCACACTGCACTACCTTTTGGCTGTCCCCCTTGAGGGTAGAGACTGAGGAGGATTCAAAGTGCCCAGTACTTAAAGCCTCCAGAGAAAGTTGCCAACTGATAAATAGTTGAACAACTCTGAGGTCCTAACAGGGTCCTGCCTACGTTCCCACCCATCTGCCTCTTCCTTGGAAGTCTGACCTGGAAGACAGCAGGTGCGTATTCATCGTCGATGGAGTGCTGCTCCCGCATTGAGGGACACTCGGGCCTCTGCCCCACAGTGACTACTTCCAGCCCAAACAGGGAGTGGTTTCCTCGGGGAGAAGCCCCAACCAGGGCCACTTCTAGCTGGCAGGTGTCTGCGGTGTGCAGGAGGCGAGGGGGTTGGGCAGGTCGTCCAGAGCTGGAAAAGGCCTGGACCTAGGAAAGGGGAGGGATAGAGGGGTGGGACGATGGCCCCATACTTGTGCTTAAGGGTTTCCCCATCATGAACTCTCACCTCATAAACCAGTCCTCCGAGTTCCTTCTCTTTCCTCACACCCTTACCTTGAAGGCCAGACTGCCATTGGCAAAAGCCCCGGTAGGGTCGTTCACAGGGTGGCCTTGGAATGTGGCACTCAGGCTGGCAGGATCCAGTGAGTCAGTGATGTTGTTCCAAGAGAACTCGGCCAAGGAGTACGGAGGATACGGTTTTCCCAGGGGCTCTGCCGCCACATCCAACATGTTGGTGCCATCGAACTCGAGCAGCTGGGGGCGGGTGGTGGAGCTGGGTTCGCCACAGTCTAGCTTTCTCCTAAGTCACCTGTCCCGATCCATACCCACCCCCAAGCTCCCACGGCAGAGCCTGTCCCCAGTCCTCAATCCCTCCCTCTAGTTGGGAGGAGCCCCCTCCTCTGTGCCCTTCGCCTCGGTCTCCCCCACCTCCTCACCCTGGTGAAGATAAGGGCAGAAGAAAACTGGACGCTGTCCTCCGGGAGAACCCTCAGGCCCCCATCAGGCTCAGGGGACAGCAGGCGACTCCAGCTGACGTTAAGGACACTGTGGGGGGTGTTGGTGGCCACCAGCACCACTGCTGGAGGCCCGAGGCTGCTCCACACATAGTGCAGGGTGGAGTTGGCGCCCACTGCCCGGATGTGAAGCAGGCTCTGGGGGAGGCCTGGCCAGCCGGGGATGACCTCCAGAGACACCTGGAAATTGGAGGAGGGGAGAGATCAGGGAGAGACTCAGGCAAAGACAAACTTGAGGGAGGGGAGAGGGGCTTGGAGGACAATTCTGGGGAAATCACGGGCAGTGAGAGCCTAGGAGAGGAATGGACGTGAGCCCAGGGAACCGTGGAGAGAGGGCAGAGCAGGCTGAGCAAGACCCGACGGGAGGAGGGCAGGGCCCAGCCGAGGAATACAGAAATCCCACACTTCCTGGACCTGGGCTGAGTCGGGTCCGACTCAGAGCAGGGAGTCATCCTACCCCTCCACCCACTCCACAGTCCTGTCCCATGAGCCAGGGATGCCCCCACCTCCTCCAGGCTCAAGAACACTTCTCTCTGCAGTCACCCTCCACCCCTTGGGTGCCCCACACTCCAGCCACCCTGGAAAGGCAGCATTTCCTGACACCTCCATTGCTCTAGTCCCCAAGTCCTCACCTGGCGGGTCTCCCCTCCCAGAAGGCCAAGCGGAGCTGTGCACAGGAGACTCAAGAGAAGCAGGGAGCTGGGGGCATGGGGACCCCAACCCCAGTGGGGCTCCCCACAGCCGCACATGCAGGTGGCAGCAAATTCAGTTGGTGGAAGACACTGGAAAGTCATGTGACTCGGATTCAGCTGATCCCTTTAGAGGGTGGGGCCGGCTGCTGCACCAGTTCTTAAAGGGACCGCCTCCCTTAACCCAGATTCCAGCTGCATTGGAACAGAATCAGAGAAAACATCATCCCCAAATGGAGTCGGCAAGCACAACATTCCAGCTCTTGTGTGCAGACGCACTCCTAGCCTCTCCTACCCGGTCAGTCCCACTCAACAGTTATTTGTAATGAGCGTGATGTCTGGATTCAAGATACAAAAGGGATCTGAATAATGACTGTGGTAGAAAGGTCCAGAGAAGAACTCGAAGATTTCTGTGAGATGGAGTACCCCAGAGGGTTTTTTTCAACCTAATATTTATTGAACACTGAGGTATGCATCCTGGAAAAATTCACAATTGTATTGAGAAGATACCTGAAGAAAGAAGATAGGAAAGCAATACATTTATTGGTCAAGAGGGAAATCACACCTGGCCAAATGCATGCTTTTTGATGTTTTTGCTTAATTTTAAATCATTATTTATTTATTCATTTATGGGTATGGGTGCACTTGACCACTGAGCCACATCCCAAGCCCTTTTTATATTTTATTTTGAGACATGATCCTGCTAAATTCCTTAGGGCCTCACTAAGTTGCTGAGGCTGGCTTTAAACTTGCCATCCTCCTGCCTCAGCCTCCCCAGCTGCTGGATTATGGGTGTGCGCCACCATGCCCAGCAACCTTGAGTTATTTTGATTAATAAATGCACATAGTACAAAATTTGAAAGGTACAGTAAACTGGAGCCTACTGAGACAATCACCACTCACCATTCCCAGTTTGTCTTTCCCTCCCACCATCCCCCCTTCCCTTCCTCTTATTCTTCCTCTCTCTCTCCTTGTTTCTGTGTTTCTGGAGATTTCTTTCTGTGCTTCAGGAGATGGATCTCAAGGACTTGTACATGCTAGATACCTGCTTTACCACTAAAGTACATACCCAGTGCCCCCCCCTACTTTTTGGGGTGTACTGGGAATTGAACTCAGGAGCACTCAACCACTGAGCCACATCCTCAGCCCAATTTTGTTTCCTTTTTTTTTTTTTTTGCGGGGGTGGGGGGCTGGGGATGAACTCAGGGGCTCTCAACCACTGAGCCACATCCCCAGCCCTATTTTATATTTTACTTAGAGACAGGGTCTCACTGAGTTGCTTAGCACCTCGCCATTGCTGAAGCTGGCTGTGAACTCGAGATATTCCTCTCTCAGCCTTCTGAACTGCTGGAATTACAGGCGTGTGCCACTGCATCTGGCCTATACCCATCCCTTTTAATATTCTATTTTGACCTGGGCGCAGTGGAACACTTCTGTAATCTAGAAATGTGGGAGACTAAGGTGGGAGAACCACAAGTTTGAGGTCAGATTGGATAATTCAACAAGACCTTGTCTCAAAATAAAAAGGGCTGGGAATGTAGCTCAGTGGTAGAATGCCCATGGCCTTAATCCCTGGTACCACTAAACATAAATATCTTTTTTTGTATGTGTGGTATTGGGGATTGAACTCGGGGGCTTAGCCACTGAACCACATCCCCAGCCTTATTTTGTGTTTTATTTAGAGACACGATCTCACTGAGCTGCTTAGCAGCACACCATTCCTGAGGCTGGCTTTGAACTTGCAGTCCTTCTGTCTCAGCCTCCCTAGTGAGTTGCAATGAATTACAGGCAAGAGCCACGGTGCCCGCCCAAAAATCTTATTTTGATATAGGGGCATCTTGCTGAACTGCACAGGCTGACATTGAATTTGTGACCCCCCCCATCTCAGAGATTGCAGGAGATGTCACTCCACCTGGCACCAGTATTTCCCCCTAACTCCTGCAGTATTTGGAATTGAATCCAGA